CTATAACTAATTACATTCTTTCTTTTTTCTCAATTTTATTTAACAAAATAACTTTAATTAAAACAATAACAGTCAATAGGTCAAAATGACTAGAAATTATTAGAAATTGCAATGAATACTAAATGGTGAATATACTAGAGAGTCTAGAGACCTATTTGAGAACCAAACAATATCTTAAGTAAGTAGGATACTAAGTCAAAAAACACCATACTTAAGTATGGGGCACAACCTTGCCAAAAGTGATATAATTGAGGTTAACAAAAAGTACAAACATAAATTGTAGGTAGACACTAGACAATTAAGTATTAGTATAAGTAAAGGTAAAGGTAATAAGTAATAACTGTAATAACTGTATTATTAGTGTATAAGGTAAATCTGTACAGTGTAGTTCTCAAACTCGGGAAACTGATCTCTGTAAACAACGTGTTAGCGATGTGCTGTAGCCGCTGATTAGCTGACTGACGAGTCGGACTACTTGACAATCAGAGCACGCGTCTCATACACACTTCGGCGATACATACAGTCTAAAATTGGAGCGCGGTTGGATCGAATTCGAAAATATGGGGGAAAATATCGAGGCGATCGGATCGAGGGAAGAGAATCGCGATCCGATTCTATTTCGGTGGATCGTTACAGCCCTAATCATAACCATTTATGCCATTCATTACCTCCGCCAAGGGGTTGGCAGGAGGTTATGTTCTTCACCGGCGGTGTTTGACTGTTTGTGGTTTGTGGGTTTGTGGGTTTGTGTACAGCCTAACCGGAAAAGTTATGGACGGATTGTCATAAAATTTTCAGGATAGGTCAGAAATCTCGCCTAACTTAGAATTGATGAGATTTTTGGTGGTGATCCGAATCAATTAATTAATAAAATTTTCAGGATAGGTCAGAAATGGGGTAACTTAGAGAGAGAAGAGAGAGGAGAGAGAGAGAGAGAGAGAGAGAGAGAGAGAGAGAGAGAGAGAGAGAAGAGTACTTCGCAGCACGCAGTCAGGGAGAATTTCTCCAATTGCACGCAGTGACGTGCAAAAATCTGTATTGTGCGTCCGCAATTGGGTAACGCAATACGAATATCCGCTTCTTATCAAGACAACACGGCGACATAATGTAATATTAAATATTTTTTTTACATAATATAATTATATCGGGTATTCTTAATTCGCCATTCAGTATTCGTTAGGGTGCGTTGTATAGCGTTTGATTTGCCGATCGCCAGAAATCATGTGAACATTGACAAATACCCTGGTCGAAGCTGGGGGTGGGGGAAAGGGGACAAATAAACTCCCTTCTCTGTTTTTTTACTTACAAGTGCCCTGGCTGAAGTTGTGGTGTGGGGGAAAAGGAGAAATGAACCTCCCCTTGTGAATTATTTCTACCGAGAGTGAGCACGGACCAATCGCGACATGGCTGGGGAAACAGTGCTAATAAGGAATTCACCGCTCTGCGCGAAATGACGGGTGTGGTAGAGAGGGAGAAGAAAGAGGGAGAGAGATGAGAGAGAGAGAGGGGGGGAGAGGCGATAGCAGCGAGCGAGAGAGGAGAGAGGGAGCGGAGAGAGAGAGTGAGAGAGAGCCACTGCTACCGCTCTGTTTGTTTGTTTATCTCCCTGTACGTCCGTCCATCCCGTTATCTTTCTTTCGCTCTCTCGCTCTCATTTCTTTCTCTCTCTCTCTTCTCTCTCTCTCTCTCTCCTCTCTCTCTCTCTCTCTCTCTCTCTCTCTCTCGCTCTGTCGCTTTCGCGCGCACTCTCTCTCTCTCTCTCTCTCTCTCTCTCTCTCTCTCTCTCGCTCTCTCTCACTTTATCACGCTTCTTTGTCGTTCTCTCTCTCTCTCTTAATCATTCTCTATTCTCTCTTACTATCGGTCGTCATTCTATTTCCACAATTCTTATATTTCCTCCGCCAAGGGTTGGCAGGGGTATGTTTTCACGCGGCGTTTCGTTGGTTTGCTGCGTTTGTTTGTTTTATTGTGTACAGCGCCTAACTGAAAAAGTTATGGACGGTATTGTCATGAAATTTTTAGGATAGGTCAGAAATGGGCTAAACTTAGAATTGATTGGATTTTGGGGTGATCCCGATCCAATTAATTATTTAATTAATTAATAAAATGTTCAGGATACGTCAGAAAATGGGGTAACTTAGAATTGATTACTTTTAGTTGTGATCCGGATCCAATTAATTAATTAATTAATTAATAACATTCTTCATGAATTTTCAGGGTAGGTCAGAAATGGGGTAACTTAGAATTGATTACATTTTGGTGGTGATCCGGATCCAATTAATTAATTAATAAAAAAATCTACAGTGAGAGAATTGAGCTGGCTTGGCGGAGGTTTGCGCTCTCCGAGTGCTCTAGTTATATTATGTAATCATACGTTATCGTCCTTTAATTGACAGTAAAGCGTGTATTGCGAGAATTGTTCAGTGTTTCCCCCACTTTCATGATACCTATCGTTATTGCTTGAGTAGCAGCAATTGTCTAGAGTAACGATAAAATGTCTTAGAACCTTCGTATTCACCGAAAACTACCAGTTTCGAACCAATCGTTTTTGTAAACATTCGTTTTCTGTCAACTAACAGGAAGTATGGATTAGCTTGTGGCGCCACCGCTTATCTTCTGCCATACCCACAGTACAGGCACGCACTTGTTTTCAATTCATCACCGACACAAATACAAGTTTACCAATTCTGCCATAAGGCATTGTCGCGACACGATAAAATGCATTGCTGTTACGATGTGTTCATATCCAATTTTCTATGCTATAACTGCATAAAATCTTAGTATTTTTAATGTTGGTGTAATCAGTGATATTTTCGCTGTCAGGTGAGACTATATTCAGCTATATTTCGTTTTTCTGAGCAAAAATCTCGCAATACACACTTTAATTATGATTCTTAATTACGGTCACACAGATGCGGATAGATGTGGCGCAGTGGCGCAGTACGACTATGACGGTCGCTCCGAGAGGGAACTCACCTTCCGTAAAGGTGCCAGCATCACTTTGCACTCACAGGTAAGGCACGCGATTCTTCCCCCCCCCTCTCTCTCTCTCTCTCGTGCTCTGTCTTTCTTTCTCTCTGTCTTCCCCTCTACATGCTTTTTATCTTTTTTTCTCGTTCTCTCTCTCTCTCTCTTTCACTCTTTCTCTTTCTCTCTCTCTCTCTCTCTCTCTCTCTCTCTCTTTTTCTCTCTATTTCTCTTTCTCTGTGTGTGTGTCTCTCTTCTCTTTCCCTCTTTCTCTCCCTTTTTCTCTTTCTTTCTTTCTTTCTCGCCCTTTTTTTCTTTCTTTCTCTCGCGTGCGCTCTCTTTCTCTATCTCTCGCTCTCTCTCGTGCTCTGTCTTTTTTTCTCTCTGTCTTGTGGGTGTGTGGGGGAGGATGTGGGTTGTGTGGGTGTGGGAGTGTGTGTGTGTGTGTGTGTGTGTGTGTGTGTGTGTGTGTGTGTGTGTGTGTGTGTGTGTGTGTGTGTGTGTGTGTGTGTGTGTGTGTGTGTGGGAGGCGATGAAGCATGTACGTCAATGATGCTGATAATTATAGGTGTGTTACGTTGTTGATTGATATACGTATTGATTAATTATCGTGCCCCATGGAAACCCCTACGCGCAGGCCATACTTATATTTTGTCATTCATTTATATTTAATTATTATCACATTTTATATATTAACTTATTTATTTTAAATATTTTTTTCAAATTTTATATATAAATTTTTCGCGTTTTTCTTTATTCATTATTATTCCATTATATGCTTTTCCGTGTGACCATTGCAACTCCGTTGCCGTTACATGCCGATCTCGCTAACATGAATAACACACAGTGATCAGCTTCCCACATAGTTTGGCCTAGATATGCGTCGTGTGGGCGCGTGAGATAACCAGATTAGTACTCGGAGTATCGCTAATACAATCTGACGTCATGACACGCCAGGTCGACTCTCGAGGGATGCCTGCATATTGCGACAGTCGCTGCCTCGTGTCCACATTATGCGCGTGGGTAGGGTGAGATAGGGAGAGGTAGGGCGAGGTAAGGTAGGGTATAACTCACTCTACTCTCTGTGTTACTGGCTAATTGCTTAAAACAGGTTTAGTCGTGAATGGGGCTGACATGACAGAGAGAGAGAGAGAGAGAGAGAGAGAGAGAGAGAGAGAGAGAGAGAAAGCGATAGAGAAAAAGGGAGAGTGAGAGAAGAAAGAAAGAGAGAGAGTGAGTTAGTGAGAAAGAGAGAGAGAGAGAGAGAGAGAGAGAGAGAGAGAGAAAGAAAGACAGAAAGAAGATGAAAAGAACCAACTACTTTCACTCCACAGATAAAAAAATATATCAAAACTACATATATCAAAAAAAATAACGCGGCGAGAAGACGCGGCAGTTGCTCAGGGGGTCTAGATCAGTCGCCTACGCCAGTCTTCTTCCCCTGAGAGAATGCGCAAAAGGTCAAACATACGCTTATACCCATTACAGTGTAAACTGTAGGGATACGCTTAGCTTAGTCCGTTCATAAACACGTACGCCTCGCGCGCGTTCCCCGCGGATCCACGCGGATCCACGCGTTAAGTAGTTAGTTATAGTTTAGCTTGTTCATCGCATCTAGACGTCCTTACGCGTAGTATAGGCTTACGTGTGTGGTCTCCTTGCGTGGCTTTATTGACGTGGCTTATGTTGGCTTTGCGTGTATAGTATTTATTATTCTCCCGTTGCAGACACGGCGACCCTCTGGGAGTGTCTCAGCGGTCAGCATCCGAGGACGGATCCGACGGCGGATCTGACGATGGTGAGAACACATGCTAGCTCCTCTCTCTCTCCCTCTCTCTCTCCCTCTCTTACTCGCTCTCTTTCTCTCTCTCTCTCTCTTTCTCTCTTACTCGCGCTCTCTCTCTCTTTCTCTCCCTCTCTCTCTCTCTCTCTCTCTCCCTTTCTCTCTCTCTCTCTCTCTCTCTCTCTCTCT